TGTTCCAATCAGATTGGCCCTAAATTTATATCTATTCACTTTCTATTTGCTTTTATTATTTTATTATTCTTTAAGGGAGATTTTTTTATGGTAAATTTACCTAAATAATATCATTAAAATTATTTATCAATTTAATAATATATTTTATTTATCAAAATGACACACTTTTACTAAGGCAAAATTGGGCCAATGTTAATAAAAAAATTGGGAATTGGATTATTTATTTGGCCCAATAGGCCACCTTCTTATTTATTTTAGAATATACGACATATGCTACAGCACATTACGAATTCTTTTACGATATATTATTTTTATGAAATAAATGATATATTTTTATTAAAAAATTTAAATTTATTTTTTTAAGAAATAGAACTCATCATTTGGGCGTGGCGAGTTCTTTTTGAATTTTAAATGTATAGTCGTTAGTTGAATATTGGGCAACGGGCTAATTTTTTTTTTAAATTCCATTGGAACTCGCCATGTGGTGTGACAAGTTCCAACGGTCATATTGTGTTTTTTTTTTGTAAAAGTAGGAGTGTGTTTATTGTGTTTGTATGAGAAATGAGAAAATAAAATCATGAATCAATGAAAATAATTTGGGTATGATTTGGCGAACAGTGTATATGGGTTTTACAACTCTGACAGCGATGATTCAAATTCAAACTCATCTTTAGATGAAGAGTGGGTAAAACATACATTAATGTCGATAGTTGAGGAAAATAAACAGAATAGGAAAGTTGAAGAAGACAATAAGAAGATGATAAAAATCGAGAAGAAGAAGAAGAAGAAGAAGAAGAAGAAGAAGAAGAAGAAGAAGAAGAAGAAGAAGAAGAAGAAGAAGAAGAAGAAGAAGAAGAAGAATGAAAACTTACCATTCTACCATAGCAAATGACTCGAAGAGAGGGATGAAAAGAATACAAGTAATAGCATGGAATTTGAGAAGAATAAGAAGAAGATGAAAAAAAATGAAGACTTACCAATTCGACATAGTAAACGAATTGCAGAGAGGGGTGAAAAAAATAAAAGTAATATATGAAAAAATATTGACTTTATGGTCTAAATATATAGATAAATTTATCTTTACTAATTAAGTAATTATTGTATTAAGTTATTTATGAAAACAATTACAATTATGTATGAATAAAAGTGGAAGTTGAAAATATATAAACACACATATAAAAGTACAATCCAAAAAATATGAAGTGGAAGAGAAAAATTTAGAGAAATAAATAAACGAAATTAAAAAAGTAAAAATAAAAACAAGCATTATCACCCAAGTCAATATTTAGGAAGACGCGAACAATGCTTTATGCTGTGGCCTTCACCTCTATAGTGGCCATAAAGCTTTGGTAGACCTTGCTCACTTTGAGGACTATCCATATCAATATGAATTCGATTAGATTCAGGTCGATCCTTCAACTTTCTATGCAATTTTAGATTTGGTAACTATTCTTCAGAAATAGTTGGTGTAGGCCAATAAGCATCGTTTGAGAGATACTTAAACTCACTATTGTATATGTTACGCACAGAATGCAAAATCTTAACTATGTTGAATGCAAAATCTTATCCGGTACAATAATAATTTCAAATGACAAAGAATCTTAACTATTCTTTTTCAATGATATATCACTTCAAATAAGAACTTATTTCATATTGAATGTAAAATCTTATCCGGTACAATAATAATTTCAAATGACAAAGAATCTTAACTATTTTTTCAGTGATATATCACCTTAAATCTGACTTATTACATATTGAATGAAAAGATTTAGTACAATAATAATTTCAAATGATAAAGTACCTTAACTATTCACATCCTTTTCCTTTTAGTGATATATTACCTCAAATCAAAACTTTATTTCATATTGAATGAAAAATCTTATATAGTACAATAATAATTTTAAATGACAGAGAATCTTAAATATTCACGTTCTTTTCTTTTAAGTGATTTCAGTGATATATCACCTCAAATCAAAACTTATTTCATATTGAATGAAAAATCTTATATGGTACAATAATAATTTCAAATGACAAAGAACATTAACTATTCACGTCATTCCATTTCATTAATATATCACCTCGTGCCTATATAATCATTATGGCTATATATAGTCATGCCTATATAAATGATACAAAACATCTCAAATCACATCTTCACCCAATATATCATTGTTAAAGTTCATATTTTCATGTCATGGCAACAATTCTAGTAATAATTTATTATGAGAGGAATCACCATCTCTTTCGACGGAGATAATCTACTTGATGACAAAAATTTCAAACACGATTAGAGCAAATCAAAATTCAACACTATCTTCACTACACTTCAAGTTTTCCACCTCTGTGGTTCTACAACATTCATCAATGGACTATCTTCACAATAATTCTACAATTTGAGCAATGATTTACACATACACTACCAACTCTATGAGTAATATTGACCTATTTGTCGAGTATCATAAGCAAGCCACAACTCCTTCCACTTCAAATACTAAATTGGGAAACATTTATGGTAATATAAAAGTTAAACTTCAAGAACTGAAACTATTTATATATAAAAGGAAACAAGAGATAGAATGAAGGATTGAAAAATTGAACTTAACATCTATCGAGTCAACTGACTATGAAGATTAAGATATGGGAATCATAAGTTAATGCTTCTAATGTAATGTAATGTAATGTAGGAGTTAATGCTTGTTTAAATCAAATAGTTTAGCATTATGAAGTTGGTAAATAAAACATAATATAAACATGATAAATAAAATATCTTTTTTTATACATAATTTAACTATTCATAAATAACTTCACTTACTACAATAATTAATATTCTTTGGAAAGACGTGTTCATACATAATATTCATAAATCAACATTTTTTAACAACTATTTAATTTTTCGGCCCTCTCTACAATTCGTTTACTACGTCGAATTGATAAATCTTCTGTTATATTTTGGCATAAATTATAATTGATAATTAAGTTGGATTTTATTGTAATTATAGTGATTAAATATTACTTGATAGTTAGGTTTATTTAACAAAGTAAATATTTGTTTTAGAAAATAATTATTATGAAATAAGAATTCTTGGTGACCAAGTATTTGACTCTATAAATAGAGATTATGTATTAGCCTTTAAGGTAAGGTGGGAGAGAAATATTTTGGAGAGATGCAATTCTTTTTAGATCTCTAAAACTTTTGGGGCTTATGTTACAGAGATAGTTTTGTAGGGATATTGGAAGAGTATTTTGGGATATACCGAGTTTTGGTATCTGTACCAGGTTTTGGGATACATGTGATATCATGTATTTTCTACTCTTCGTGTTATCTACGTTTATAGTGGATTGTTGTTCATCTTGCCTGTGGAGGTAGGCAAGGCCGAACCACGTTAAATATCATCTCCTTTCCATGTCTTATTTATGTTGATATCATTTTGGTTATTTTTTTGCTCTCAAATCTCTAACAAATAGTATCAAAGTTATGGTTTAGGCTGTGGAGTTTTAAAGAAATTTGTTGCTACAGATTTTGTTAGCGACAAGATGAATTTGTTGCAATGAGGTTTCAGTTGCAGGAAGTAATTCTCAATTAATCTAGTGATACATCAATAGATATTGCATAAGGTTTGAAGTTGTTGAATATATGGTAGTGGTACTTCAATGGATATGCGACTTACATAAAGACTGAAGTTGTTAAAGACTTGAAGACCAATTTTTGACGAAATTTAGTTAAGGGGGAGATTTTTTATATTTTGACTCATTATAATTGGTAATTAAGTTGGATTTTATTATAATTCTAGCGGTTAAAAATTACTCTATAGTTAGGTTTATTTAATAAAGTAAATATTTGTTTTAGATAATAATTCTTATGAAATAAGAATTCTTGGTGACCAAGTATTTGACTATATAAATAGAGATTATGTATTAGCCTTTAAGGTAAGGTGAGAGAGAATTATTTTGGAGAGATGTAATTCTTTTTAAATCTCTGCAACTTTTTGGGCTTATTGTAGAGATAATTTTGTAGGGATGTTGGAAGAGTGTTTTGGGATATACTAGGTTTTGGGATACATGTGATATCATGTATTTGTACTCTTCATGTTCTCTATGTTTATAGTGGATTGTTGTTCATCTCGCTCGTACCTCATCTCCTTTGCATGTCTTATTTTATGTTGATATCGCTTTGGTTATTTTTTTTGCTCTCAAATTCCTCACATCTTCGTATTTATCTTTCGTATTCTTCTTCTTCTTCTTTTCGATTTTCCTACGATTATTTTTATTTTTTTCACCCTCCCTATAAACCATTTGCTACGTCGAATTTGTATGTCTTCTTATTTATGCTTCGTCTTCTTCTTCTTCTTCATCATCATCATCATCATCATCATGTTCATCAATTTTTTCAACTCTTCTTCAGCTTATCTTCCTCAATCATCGACATAAATGCTTGGTATATCAACTCATCATATAAAGATGAGTTGGAATCTCAATCGTCAAAGCTCAAATCATCTAAATCATAGTCAACATTCGGCAAATAGTAGCCAATTTGATGCCATAAATTCATTCTTTGATTCTCAAAAGTTTGTATTTTTTTCTCATATAAACACCAACAAATCAATTATATTTATACTAAAAATTCCAAATATGACCGTTGGAACTCGTCATGTCGGTGGGAAGAGTTCCACTTGCACTAGCCATTGGAATCTATCATTTCCCAAAGGTCAGGTAATGACTAAAAATTTTAAATTTAAGCAAACTCGTCATGCCCATATGACAAGTTCCACCTATATTTTCATATATTAATTTTTTAATAAAACTATATTATTTATTTCATAATAAATAATATATTTGAAAGGAACTCGTTATGTGGACATGATGAGTTTCCTAAAATATAATAAAATATTTGGCCGTACGGGGCCTATCAACATGAGTTCGTTTAAAAAATTTTCTAAGAAAACTCGTCACGTGGGTGTGGTCAGTTTACTAAACATTGTATATTTTGAGTATATTTCAAAATAAATATGAAGGTGGTCTATTGGGCCAAATAAATAATATGGTTAGATTATTGGCTCAATGTTGCCCTTTACTAATATATCATGTTATTAGAATAAAGACGTGTCATGTCAGTCGTACTTTAAAAAATGTAATACCCTAAATTTAACGTAAATGTTACATCCAAATCTGAGATATTGCATAACATTAAATCAATTTACTCTTTCAGTTAGAAGAGGTGATGGTTGGTCAAAATAGTCTCATGTGACCAAATGATACTAAAAAAGTTAAACTAATGTGTCACATCAATATTTTGTTACTTTAGTGATGTAGGCAAAATCTACACTCTTCAATGGAAGTGAGCAGATAGCCTTATTGTTGTCCCGATCTAGGAATGACAAGTATTGACGTCCTTGAGTTATAAGTTTGGCTGCAACAAAGATAAGAAAGGAAATAAGATTAGTAATGGGATAAGAAATAGATAATTAAGATAATTAATGAAATGAAAGAGATGAATAGAGTTGGCTGTGGAATTATGAAGATGTTGATGGCCTTGATGGAAGATGTTGATGGTGTTGATGTTGAAATGGAGATGGTGGTGATTTTGTATCTCAAACATGCCAAATATGAAACTATGTTAGGAAGCACAATCCCGATCTTCACAAACTTGCTTGAGGGGTGATGAAAATGTCTTCAATCCACTAGCTAGAAATCTAGGAATTTAGGAATCAAGGTGAAATGAATGACTCCACAAGAATAAGAAGTATACTTGCTTAATCGATAAAGTTCACAAAGAACTTTGAACAGAGATTAAACTCACAAAGGTTTATTTATAATATGAGATGGAATGATTACAAATGAAGGCAAGCCTCTCAATTTATAGGAAATGAGAGGGCTTGGCCGAATGATTACATAATGTTTCGGCTAGGTACATGTCTCCAATGAAGATACATAATTAATTAAATGAAGGAATATGTCTATAGGCTTGGTGTTGGTTTGGCTAACCCTTCATAAAGGGGCTTGATGTTTCGGCCATTTATGAATCCATCTCCCTTTGGCCGAATAGTGGGGTGCTTGTTCATCTTGGCGCCAAAGATATCTCCTTTGGTCGAATGGTGTTGTGTCTCCTCAAATTGGCGCCAAAGCTCTCATGTGCAAGGGATGCAATCTCTTCACCAACGTGCTCCTTGATGAAAAGGCATATTCATAGGCAGCATCATTCATGAAAGGTCACAATGTTTGGAAGGCAACCTTTCATGTTTGAGCTAGTTCTGAGGTGAATGAGCTGGAGGTGAGCTGGCCATAGGTGCGTTGTAGCATGTTGAACATTATGGCAGCTCCTTGTGAAATGGTACCTCTTGTGGTGGAAATTATTCGTGAAAAGGTACGATTTCACAAAATCTAACTTAGGACATATTTGAAGTGTCTTAAGTGGTGATGATGATGGTGCAACTCCCCAGCTGAATTGAAGTGATCTTGTACCTCAAATCTTCAGCTCAATCCAACTATGAGCTCATGGGTCTCCGGACAACTTCTCACCAATTGTTCCTTATGCTCTCCTAAACGTCCCCATGTAAGTTTCCTTGCCATTGCTTTCTCCATTTAGCTCCAATATAGTTCCCAAGTTATGGCCGAATGTACCTACACACATAGCATAAAAACTAAGTTAAGTATATGAACTATATATATATATATATACATAAGATAAAGATGTGTACTATAGTATATAATGATAACTTATATCTTACATAGTAATGAATAAATTATCATCATTATAACTATAGATATAATATATGTATATGAATATAACTATATTATAGCATATGAAATTAGCATCATCATGTATAAAGATAGAAAGTTTCTTCCCTTGAAAGGTTGGAATAGCCAAGTTAAACATGATGCTAAATTGGCTCACATCATTTAATAACATATGTTAATGGTCGAGTGACCAATTTGTTATTAATAAATAATATTAATGATGAAATTGTTATTTTTAAAATATCAATGAGGAAAAGATAAGTTTACTCAAACATTAATAATCATTTATGTTATTTACCCTTTTTATTTCCTTTGTAAAATTTTAGGATAAAATATTTATTTGATTTTTCTGTTATTGTGTTTTTTGTTTTTCTCATTTAATTATTTTTTAAATCATCTATAATGTTAAACATTACTTATATTTAGGCATGCTGCCATCAAGTTTGAATGTTGCCTAAACATAAATAATCATATGAAATGATATAATAATAGTTTTAATCTCTAAAACATACAAATTCTATCAAATTGGTTCTTATTCAAATTATTCAATAAATTCACAATATTAAAAAATCTTATCAATTTGGTCCTCATTTTAATTTGAAATAATTTAGGAGCCCATTTGGTAAAGTTTTCTAAAAGTATTTTTAGTTAAGAAAAGCTTATTTTGAACACAAAATCAATACCAAACAAGTAAAAAATGAGAAAAAATTACGGTAGAAAGGTGGTTTCAAACCAACCACAAGGTAGAATTTCTAGCTTTTTTTATTTCAACTTTGCTTTTGGAAGCAAATTATAATTTTACCTTTACTAATGCATAAGCTCCACTCAATTATGTATTTACATTTTATTTTAATAATTTAATACTAACATCCTTAAAAAATAATTTATTACTTTTATTAATTTTTTTATTATTTAAAAATAAAAATAATTTATTATTTATATATTAAAATAATACTAATGAGTTATATAAAATATTATTTCTATTTTTATATTTTTATTATAGTTTAAATTGATATAATTCATATATAATAATAATAATTTTTAAATGTATTATAATTTCAATTGATATGATTCATATTTAAATGTAAATATAATTGAAGTGCTATATTTTAAATTTATAACACAATGTCTATAATAGACATTTTATCTTTTCAAGCTCACTATTTAACATCAATCCAAAACAATTAAATTTTAAATTGCACTTTCGTGCATCACTTTTAAAAGTTCATTTCTACAACAATTTTAAGAGTTACTTTTCAAAAAACTATACCAAGGTAGCCCTTAATAATTTATTAATAGTTTAATAATTTATTATTCATTTCATAATATTTTTTCAATATTGAAGATTTATTGAATTATTTCCAATTAGTACCTATTTAATTGAATGTGCCGACTAAAATTATTATCATACAATGCGACATCACCAATAATTAAGTGACTAAAATAAAAACATGAAAATAGATAAAGTACCAAATAGGGGTGTTCACTTCTCAATTTTAAATGAAATAATTGATTGAATCAAACTAATTCGAATGAACGATCGACTACCATTATTTTGGTTGGAGAACAATTATTTTTTTCAATATTCAATTAACGATTAACACAATTCAAAATTAATTAATTGAAAATGTTAAATATTTAATATATTATATATTAAATACATATTTTAAACTCAAACTCATTGAGTTTAAGCACACTAAACCCATTAAATTGCCAACACATTCGGATCATATAATGATTTAAAAACAAAATCGATTTAGTAACTCATAATATTGTCAACACATTAATCAAAATTTATTCGAATCATATAATGATTTAAAAACAAATTCGATTTGGCTAATGATTAAAGGAAAAAAATTCAATTAATTCAATCTTAGGAATTTAATTCCGACCGTTTGAAGACCCTTAATACCAAATAAGTAGTTTACCCAAAAAAGTTATATAGAAGGAATATAGTAGTTAGTAAGGTAGACAGTTTGGGGGTTGAACCGAAATGTTTTAGATCCCACATATCTCCCCCACCAGTGTTACTTGTTGATTATTATTTATTAGTGTACCAGTGTTAATACGATTTGACATAACTGACACCTTTTCGCTGAAATTCTCCATTTCTAATATCATTTGACCAATATTTCCTGAAGTAGTACCATTTCGGCTGAGGTGGCACAAAGGCGCATCCCTGGGGATGCGCTTTCACGGGGTTCTGCTAAGTCGGATGCCACGGGGTAAGGCGCATCCCCGGGGACGCACCTTTCATTAAATGTCATAAATGCCTATATGTTTTTCCCCAACTACCCCTCCTCATCCCCTATATAAACCTCTTCAACCCCCCTCATTCTTCACACCAAAATCATCTTCTCATCTCTTATATAACTCAAATTCTCCAACTATTTGAGTTTTAAATTTCTTATTAGTGGTAAGAAATTTATTTTTAAGTTAGTATTTGTTTTTAAATAATTGTTATATTTTATATTAATATAATTATATAAATATTATTTTTTATTAAAATAATATTTATATAATTATTATTTATTTAAATTTATTAAATAATTTTTTTTTGTGCTAATTATATTTTTTTGTCTACAGTTATAATGGAAAGTGAAATGCTGCTGCGATTGGATGCAAACCATATCTCCAGACATTTTAGTGATATGGTAATATTTTTTTATAATTAATGTTAATATTTATTATTATTTTTAATTTAAATTTATCATGAATTTATATTAATTATAAATTTTTTATAATGCATATTATTTAGGAAACTTATCATTTTTAGAGACATTTATTAAAAACCCATGTATACTGACATCGCAACGTATTTTGCCATATTTGTCTTCTGCCAGGTTAGGGTATATTGCAACAATTATTGGCGGTTGCAAATCAAACCTGTCCTAATTTCTACATTGATGAGAGGTGGAGGCCCGAGACACATACATTTCATCTTCCATGTGGAGAGGCTACAATTACATTGGAGGATGTCTCTATGCGTCTGGGGCTTCCCGTTGATGGGAATATTATGCGTGGTATGGCGGATGGTGATTGACAGTCAATGTGCATGGAGTATCTTGGAGCTGCTCCGCTAGAGTTTAATAGAGGTAGAATAGCTTTATCATGGCTGAAAGCTAATTTTGAAGTTCTGAATGAAAATGCTTCAGAAGTGAAGTAAAGGCATGTGCTTGGGCTTATATTCTACGAATCATTGGAGGAATATTGATGCCGGACAAATCTCGCAACCAGGTGCATTGAATGTAGTTGCGACATCTGATTGATTTTGATGAAGCTGGAAGATATAGTTGGGGCGCTACAGTTTTGGCATTTCTCTTTATAGAAATGTGTCGTGCGACGAATTATAAGAAACCTACTATCGGTGGATGTCTTCTGCTTCTACAATCATGGGCGTGGTTCCGCATGCCTTTCTTATGCCTAATCGTCAATGAACCATACGTATTCCCCTTATTATTGAGTAATTTTCAAACTAAATTTTGATTTAAATATTTTTAATTAAATAGGGTGGTATTTATTTTATATTATATTTCATAGGTGGTCGATGAAAAGAAAGAACCATAGAGATATACCTACTGGACTAGAGGAAGTCCGTTTACTTATTGATACAAAAGTTGGTTCTGAGGTATGTTTTGAAATATGTTTAAATATGAATTTTTTAATTTAAAATGCTAGATATAATTAGAATATTATATTTATTTGAATTGTATATTTATATTTCAATTTCAGTGGATACCTTTATGTGAGCGATAAAGTAAAGGCTTGCATCTTACCCCACCTGAGTGGGTCATTAGAGGTTTGGATGTCAATTGTACCTCTTATATGTTATGTTATTATCGAGTGGCATCCAGTTGATCGCTTGTACGCAATATATTCCTGGAGCACCTAGGAATTTAGACGACATGCATAACATAGATAGACGAGGAAAGAAAGAGGTTAATTGGGTGGTGAGACACAGAGATTGGATTGCGCTTTGGGAGAATCGGTATGCACAGTTGGCCCCTCGACAATTTTACGCTGAAACTAGTCATATAGTTATAGATAACTATATGGACTGGTTTAATGAAAATGGAAAGTCGTTTCTACTTTCGGCGAAAGCACGAGGGGTTAACATTCCTAGGCGCCGAGAGAGACGTCCACCGTCTCAATATCATCGTCCCCCGACTAGTGGACGGAGAGAATGCGCTATCGATTCTGCAACAGTCCCACCATAACATCCCTATCCACCGATGATGATGCCCAGCCCTCCAGTTCAAATGCCATCTCCTCAAGGGTATATGCCAAGCCCACCAGTTTATATGCCATCTCTGCAGGGTTACATTCCTAGCCCTCAGGGTTACATTCCTAGCCCGCCAAGTTACATGCCTAGCATGCAGGGTTTTATGAAACCATATGGAGGTGCATATACGACTATGTTTAATGATCCGACATATGGTTCATATGCATCTTATTTGGCTAGTGGTCCTTCTCCACAGACACCTCAATCTCCATCTGGATCACAGACATCGATGCCAATGTTTTCATAGTTTTCTCAATTTTCTATGAGCGGTGGGATTGTTAGTAGCACTCCTCCAGGGTCGTTATTTTATACAGGCCCTTCAGCGTCATCTACGCCAAATGAAGAAAATGCCGATGATGATGATGATAATGATGAGGAGATTGAAGAACAAGTTCCACGAAAAAATCCTCAGCAAAATAGACAACCATCGCCATGTGGAACTCATTCTATAAGATGACATCAGTGATCTAGTTGTATTTTAATGTTATTTAAATAGTTATATTTCATAAATTAATGTAATTTGGTTATGTTATTTAAATGTTTCATGGTTGTTACAACAATATTTTTAATGTTATTTTTTATTCAAATTTAACATTAAATGTTTGTTAAATATGTTTAAAATACAAATTATAGTATTCGAAATTTAAAATTAAAATACAAATTATAGTATTCGAAATTTAACATTAAATTCAACTTAATATTCCAATTGTATTCAAAATTAAAAGTTTTATTCCAATTATAGTTCACAGTACTTAAATTGAAATTAAATTTATCCATACGTATGATTTTATCCTTAACATATACATTAAAACATATACATTAAAACCAACTTATCACTTCACATTTATTCGTAAAAACATGTCGATTCTCATTCCATACAATTTCAATGTCACAACCAACTTATTACTTCACATTTGTTCAATTTATCCATAACATTTTATACAATTTATTCAAACAACCAACTCATCACTTCACATTTATTCAATTTATCCATAACATTTTTTCCAATTTATTCAAACTTCACATAACGTTTTAATTTAACATATGAACTTAAATTTATCCATATGTATAATTTTATCCTTAACTTGCTGAACTTCCAAAAAGAAATTAAATTTTGGTTATAATTTACCTGATTTCACCATCCATCTATAGTTTCCCGGGGGACGTGAGTGACATAATAGGGCAATGATAACATATTCTCTGGCAAAATAATAGAAGGCGCGCCCCCGGGAACGCGATTTCAAGTCCCCTCAGAAATAATAGGTACTGCCATGAATAGTTTCCCGGGGGACATGAGTGACATAATAGGGCAATGATAACATATTCTCTGACAAAATAATGGAAAGCACCCCCCCCCCGGGAACGCACTTTCACCACTTTGCCAAGCCCCCTTCAAAAATAATAGGTACTGACATGAATAGTTCCCCGGGGGACATGAGTGACATAATAGGGCAATGATAACATATTCTTTGACAAAATAATAGAAGGCGTGCCCCCGGGAACGCACTTTCAAGTCCCCTCAGAAATAATAGGTACTGCCATTAATAGTTTCCTGGGGGACATGAGTGACATAATAGGGCAATGATAACATATTCTCTGACAAAATAATGGAAGGCGTCCCCCCGGGAATACGCTTTCAAGCCCCCTCAGAAATAATAGGTACTACCATGAATAGTTCCTCGAGGGACATGAGTGACATAATAGGGCAATGATAACATATTCTCTGACAAAATAATGGAAGGCGCACCCCCGGGAACGCGCTTTCAAGTCCCCATAGAAATAATAGTTACTTCCATGAATAGTTCCCCGGGGGACATGAATGACATAATAGGACAATGATAACATATTCTCTGACAAAATAATGGAAGGCACGCCCCCGGGAACGCGCTTTCACCACTTTGGGTACTGATATGAATAATGCCCATAGGGACATGAGTGACATAATAAGGCAATGATAACATATTATCTGACAAAATAATGGAAGGCGCCCCTCCAGGAACGCACCTTCACATGAATAGTACCCCGGTTATAGACATTATTATATACAACGTATTATAAACTTTCAAAACAAACTTCAGTTCACAAGCTTTCAAATTCTCAAACTCTAAATTTCTCAAAAATCTCAATCCTCTATTCTCTGAAAATGAGTCGTCTTTTTGTTGTTGTTTTATATGATGGATAAATTAAGGAAGCTAAAGAGGGGGTTGTTTTTGAGTCAGATCATTATATTCCCTTAACTTTTAAGAGAAACATCACTCTTGAGGAGTTAATCACAAAAATTTCGTTAAAGATTCGTGTATCAGGCCGGAGAAGACTATCTTCACTTCAGTATAGATTTCCCACTGATCTTTTTCAACTCACGTATACATCATTTAATCTTTCCAACGATGAGGATATTTCTATGATGGTTGATGCTCATATGGGGAGTTCACAATCTCTTATTGAAATGTATGCTACTTTTATTGAGGTTCGTGCTTCTCGTGGTCTATCATATTCCTCTCACTTTGGCATTGCATATCAAGCTGATCAAGTTGATAGCCCGACGTAATTGATCTGTAATGATTTCACTTCATTAATGGCGAATCCAACGCCAAATGCCATGCCATCAAGTTCAATAGGAAGGCATTAATCAACAACTGCTTCTGATCTCAACCCACGTGGCTTCACCAATAATCCATATGGCAACATCTCTTCTACTTCAAGGGGCAGACATTCATCTGACAATGTTTTCGACTTACATATGAAAATGCCATCGAGACGACAATCTATTCACATCCCACATGATACAATGGCCTCAAGTTCAAGGGGAGGACACGCAAGCGGGAACTTATTTGACCTCAACATTGGATTATCAGAGGAACCCTCATCTCCACCAGAAGAACCTCTTCGGGAGCCAGGTGCTGAAACGGTATTATTCGTTGAACCTGACTCACCACAGTTTAACGTACATTCTGATGATGATGAGGATGACATTCCGATAAATACAACACCAACCGAGCTTTCAGTACATATGTATGGGGATGATTATGATGAAATGTTGAATTTTCGGATCTTCTTGATGTTGGCAACTATGGACTTCAATCATCAGTCAATGACGGTGATTTACATATTGGAATGGAGTTCGCATCGAAGGAGGAAGCAATGATGGCAATAAAGAGTTACAATATTCATAACTAAGTTCAGTCCCGAGTTGATCGATCTACCACGGAGAAATATGTCTACTACTGCGTCCAACGTGACAACGGATGTCAATGGATGGTCCGTGTATCAAAGAGGAAGAGGAAAAACAACTTATGGGAACTAACCATATACAACGGTCCTCGCACGTGTTGTGCAAGAGGTATAAACCAGGATAATCCCAACTTGGACTCCAACATTATTTGCCAAGCAATCATACCCATTGTGAAGCAAAGCTCTCATATAGCTGTTGCAGTGTTGATTTATGCTATACATTCACAATATGGGTACACCGTCTCCTATAAAAAAGCTTGGTTGACAAAACAGAATGCCATTAGCAAACTTCATGGCAAATGGGATTCCTCTTACAACGAGTTGCCCAGTTAGTTTCATGTTGTGCAAAGACTCAATCCTAGGACAATTGTTGAGTTTGAAACTCAACATCATTACGTGAATGATCGAGTGGTTCGAGATCGCTACTAATTCTACCGTGTCTTTTGGACTTACCCTTAGTGTATTAATGTAGTCAAGTACTGTAAACTAGTTGTCCAAATTAATGGTACTTTCTTGTATGGGAAATACAAGCAAGTATTATTATTGGATGTGGTCCAAGATGGAAACCGCAATATTTTTCCTGTTGCGTTTGCCCTCGTTCAAGGAGAAGACACTGAGTCTTGGGTTTTTTTCCTTACAAATTTACGTTTACATGTTGTCACCAGGGAACGAGTACGCATTATTTCAGACCGAGGAGCTGGGATAAAAGCAGTACTGGACTCTTTGGGTACAATGTATAGACCTCCACATGTTCAACATCGTTATTGTGTCCGTCATATTACTACAAACTATTACGGAAAATAAAAGAAGAACGATGAACGTCAGTTAGTCGTGCGGATGGGTATGTTACTTTTTCCCAATTTTTCTATCATTTCGTATTACTTATTTATACTTCATATTAACTATTACATATTCCTAATGGCTTAGGTTACGAACTCTTACCTCAAAGGTTTGATTCTATGCTACAAGAGCTGTTTGACAAAAATAAGAAGGGGTGCGAGTACATTATGGACATCAGCAAAGAAATGTGGACAAATGCATATGACGAGGGGTATCGCTATGGTCATATGACAACCAACTTGGCTGAAGCAATAAGTTCAACCTTAAAGGGGACGCGTCATTTACCAGTCACGGCATTGGTCAAAACGACTTATTTTCGTTTGGGTCAACTCTTTGCAAAGCTCGGTGGACAAGTTCTTACTTGGATGCAAAACAACCATATTTACCACCCAATACTAGTAGCTGATTTACAGAAAAAAGTGGCTGCATCAAATTGGATGTTGGTTACAAATTTTTCTCGCACCCGTAAATTGTCACCTCCGTTGCAAGGGATTGAAGCTAACTCTTTCAGAGTTAATCTGCAAGAGAGGTGGTGCGATTGTGGTTTCTTTCAAGCACTCAAATACCATGGTCTCATGTCATTGCAGCTTGCTCACATTCGCATTTGGACTACAAAAATTATGTTGATCCCGTATACCAACTTGTATTCAAGGTATATGAATTTGAGTTTCCGTCCATAGGAAATGAAAGAGACCCAAATGAGATTCAAACTTGGCTTACAATTGTACCAGATCCATTACTATTGAGGGACTCAGGTCGTCTAAAATCTACTATAATACATTGTGATATAGATATTCGAGAGAAGTCAACAGAACAAAAACGATGTGGGCATTGTAGAAACATCGGGCACAATAGAAAAAAAATGTCCGGCTCTGTTATCATCACATAACCGTTAACTCTTATATAATTAATATTCTATTTAAATGAATGTTTTTGTTTCTAATATTTAAATGTAATTGCATTTTCTATAATTTTCCAATGTATGTACACCTAAATAAATTTTATTTTTTAATTTTTTTATTTAAAAATTATTTTATGATATTTATTTAATATAATAATTAATATTATTTATTATAAAAATTAATTATTAATTTTAAAATATGATAATAATTCTACCTTCTAAGTAGAGTATTAAATTAAACAAATTAAAAGTTATAAAAAAATTATGTATACGATGACAAATTTCATGTTCTGATTGGAGGATTAAATTTATTAAATTAAATTAAAATTAAGACTAAATTGATAAAATATGTAAGTATTGAAGATTAAATGTATAATTATACTAATTTTATTAACTTATGCATCAATATTTTCGTTAAATATTGATAACAGATGACTAGATTGATAACATTTAAATAATTAAGTGATAAAATTAATAGATTGATAATCAAAATAAAAAAATAATAGATATATAACCATACATGTAATATTATAATTTCATACATTTTTCCTATATCTACAATAAGATCAAAGCTGGTTTTCATCTATTGTTCCATCCGATTAATGTCGCATGGAATGGGTGAATGCCAAAGTCCCTGAAACATATAACATTAAAACCTAAATTCACTCCACCTTTAACACATTTAAAAAATATATTCGATAATTCTTAAATTATAACCGAAACACTTTACATAATATATTACTAATTTATAATAACAATAAAAATAAAATCTTTATTATTAAAAAAATACCAACGTGATATCCGACTTAGCAGAACCCATTTAAAGCGCATCCCCGGAGATACGTCTTACACGCGTGCATCATAGTCAGCATAAACCCAGGTAAAATGCGTCCTCGGAGATGCGCCTTTGTGCCACTTCAGCCGAAAGGGTGATACTTCGAGAAATATTGGTCAAAGGGTGTTAAAATGTGTTAGAGAGGGAGAATTTCGACAAAAAGGTATTAGTCAAATCGCCCAGTGTTAACAATTTTCAAAAGCTGTATGAACAGAGAAAGCTGTTTTTTTTAATATATAATCAATTAAAAAAACATAATCTCAAGAAGAAAGATTGATTCGGTTTTAAGAAATTCAACGGTCATTAATTCAAAGCCGTCACAGTTCATTCTAATGGAGTATGAAATAAATAAATGATATTATGAAAATGGTATCAACAGGATGGGACCTATCTACCCTTTGAATTTGACACAACCATTTCTAAAATGATATTAAGAAGAAAAAGAAAGTCTAATTACAATTAAGGAGGCAGACAATATGGGACCCCAATGTGTATGCAAAATCAAAAGAGTTGCATGGAATTTAATAAGGTACAAGGAAAGAAGGAAAAGAAGACAAGTGACATATTGCAAATGAATGTCATGGATCATAGATTATCTCAAGCTTAATCACCAGGTAAAACAACAAAGCAGATGATTATAGACAATTCGATGGATCTAATATTCTTGTCACATGACATAGTAGGAAACAAACAAAAGGAAAATGACATAAAAACCTGTACTAGTAAAACCTCGATCGATTGAAGCAACGCAGGCCTACAATTGTTCGTACTGTTCTGTATAATTTCGATCTGAATCTGATCCCTCCAATGACCTTATGGTTTAGGCCATCCTCACAACTAATCTGAAAACCGACAACAGAATATATAACTGCAGAAGAAAAGCAGTAACACCCCAAGTCCCAAGCTGTGTTTATCATATTGTGTCAACTTGTTCTTTATTCTCGGATGTCATGAACTGGAACGATAGGTTAAAAGATTTGACAACCTTAATAAATGTATCCTTTTATATGACTAGATATTCGGTAAAATTCAATCGTGTAGGCACACCATCTGACCTGCTGCAGAACCAAAAGCTAACATGTCTCTGCTCCATACTGAGCGTTATTGATCAAAAGTCTCGTCAAACATCATTTCCTGTAACATTAAAAAGGGCAGAACATGTCACTACTTAGTGGCCAGGTGATGCAAAGTACAAGATTTGGCACAGGGAATAAAAGACAAGCAGATTCATAGGTGTAATAGAATATACAGGGGCTTCAAGTAAAGCCCAAGTTCTTGCACAATCTGCGTGACAGTTTGGGTCCATAATATTATTGGGTACATTAATTGGATCCAAAAAGTCCAAGTCCAAATCTTGTCCTAATTAAATCAATGTAACCTGGGTGAAACTATGCAGTATAATTAGCTACAATAAAGTCATCCTGAAAGAGGCTAACCTGATCGTACATAGGGCATGTGTCACTTCTTTCCATCCACTCCAAAATGCATGAGAGGTGATAATGATGTTCACATTTTGTAATAAGTTTTGGATTCCCTGTGTCATACTCTGCATGTGCAAATACCATATACAAGCCATTACTTATGAGCTGTTAATATATGAACAAGGAGATTGGCGCTATTATGTTTAAATGCACTGATCAGTTAACAGCAGCACAGGGTCCAGATCTAGGTTAACAGGCAATTGAAGCCTCAGACAACGAGATTACATTACCTTCAAGACAAATAGGACAAGCATCCTCTTCCTCTGTCATTGATTCCTTAGACTCGGTTACTTTTGACACTTCTGATTTTCTTGGTGAAAGAAGCGAAGAGCTAGGTTGTATTTTGCAGTCTGATTCCTCAAGATCTTCACATGTTGGCAGTGTCTCGAAACTGCCTCTACTTAGAGTTCCTCTGAAGGATTCCGAATCGATTGATTGTGGACATCCCAAGATCACATCATATGGAAAAGGTGCTGGAGGTGGCCTAAAGGTATCAGGTACTTCTATGTCCAAATTAACCAGGAATCTTGCAGCCATTGCAGAGGCTGATCCTTCATGAGGTACTATAGACTCATTCTCTTCCAAAGCTGGTGGGCACTGTGGGAGGAGTTTTAAAATTCAAAGAAATGATTATAATAGATAGAGATTCTCAGAATTCGTATACCACAATAGTAGATAAAAGGAGGATTTCCACCTATACAAATTAGAAATTATTAGGTAATCTACTAATTTAGCCCAGTGGCCACTGAACAAGAAGCTCAAGAAACTTGAGCTCCATCCTCCAAACGCATATGCAGACAATCTCAGGTGAATCTTTTATGATATTTCAAGGAGTTCTCAAGTTAGGGGACTAGATTTTTATACCAAATTTCAGGTTTTCTCTTTCTGTTCTGCTATCAATTTCCCCCCTTTAAAAGTAAACTAAAGAATCAAATAAGTCAAAGCACAAAATCAGAATTATTGTCACAGTTTGTGCATGCACAGCATTTATATTCAGCTTGCACAATGACAGGACAACATCAAATTCAAGCTTTTGGAAGAAAGTCTTCAGGTCAGAAAACATTTGCAAGGTCAGTGGCAGATCATAGGCTCTACAATCAGTTCAGGTAAAGGAAGAAGGAATGAAAGGGATTTAAGTATAATAATTTCATTGAATGGTCAATTACAAAAGAAAAACATGAATTAAAGGGATAGTTCTAGGGTAAAAAAAGGTACATAAAATGTTATTGAAGATGCATAAATTGTTACAACATTGTAACATTTTGTTTATACCAAAATGTTATTAATTTTTGTGTAGTTTGTAGCAATTTATGTATATATATTTAGAACATTTTGGGAATACACAAAATGTTAAAATGTTGTAACAATTTATGTGTCTTTGATAACATTTTAGGTAGTTTACCATTTTTACCTTAGAATAAGGTTCTTCACTGTCGAATTTCCCGAATTAAGGGTAGTTCAAACTTCAAAATCTTCTTCTTCCTCCCTTTTCCATTCCTTTTTCCCCATCTGTTATTATGGACAGTGGGAAGTGAGTACTTCCGAGTTCTGATATTCCTAAAAATTAACTTCCATTCTCTACTATGAAAAAAGAAAAAGTAGCATATGATAATACAGACATTAGAAATATTCATAAGATGAACATATTACTAACATAGTAATACACAGGTGTTCCATGCAGAAGAGGTTTCCTGGAAGAACAACAGCAGCCTCCCATTTCCCACAATTATCTTCTCATTAAACCAACACAAACGGAGCTTGGTGTATTTTCCCTGTTATTTGACATAAGTGGATAAGTAGAATATAATAGGTTCAAAGCAAGGGGTTAAAAAAACAACTCAAAAGCTAAGACAATACAGGGAACACTTCAGAGAATTATAATTTGCATACACAGTCTTAGGTTAGATAGGGATAACAAGTTGGCAGCATAACGGAAATAACCAATGCATGCATTACTAGCTTACAGGCATACAGCTTACTAGCAATTCATGCTAAATCAAGACGCCAAGTTATCCAACGTCTTTTAGTGCCTCTGAAAGAAAAGTCGTCATCGAAATTCTAGCAATTCATGCTAAATCCATCTGATTATAAGCTGGAAAACATGAAATTTAGCCTCTTAGTGCCTGATGCCCAGCTTATCCCATAATGGAACAAAAGCCAGACCCTAAACAACTAAAATTGCAAACATCACAAGCAGACACACATGAATTTCGTGCCTTACTACTTTTTTTTTAATAAAAACAATTCAGATAGGTTGTGTGAAGCTAAGTAGGACAACTTATAGTTTGAAAACAAACAAAGAAACAAACGCAGAAACAGTCAAGACTAAAAAACTAGGAAATTAATCACAAATCAACTACACAAACAACAAGCAACGAAACAAAGAGGTTTATCAATTACATAAATCCAAGGAAAAGGGGAAAGTTATATGCAATGGAGGGAAATCAAAAGAAAAGTAAATTATTTTGAAGGAATAAAAAACTGTTTCATCAGTGAAGAGAAAAATAATATTACAGATATAACCTTTGGAAGAAGCGGCGGCGGATATAGAAAGGAGGCGAAAAATTCTAACCTTCGAAGAACGAAAAGAAGGTGAGGAAGAGGTTTCCCGGAAATAATTATTCTTTTCTTTGTTTATAGTTTCTTAAACAGTAGGAGCTCCTCCAAGTTCTCTTCCTCGTCATTTATTTATTTAATAGAAAATAATCTCAGTGATCGAAAATTATTTATAATATACGATTTTGATCAAGTTTTTTTGATTTGTTAAAATGACCAACAAAATCGTAATGTGATCTCTAAATCGCAACGCGATCTCCAGTATCGCAAATCAGTCTCCAGATTCGCAATGCGATTTTGACTATCGCAATGCGATTTTTCAAATTCGCGTAGCGATTTTGTAAAATCGCAATGCGAATATGTAAATCGCAATGCGAATATGTAAATCGCAACGCGATTTTCAAAGCGCCATTAGTATCGCAATGCGTATTTTATTTTCAAATTCCAAACACAAATATTAATACATCTCGTAATCACAACTCTTAACCTAAAACCCTAAATCACAACTCAATCCCATCTCCATTCTCACTCTCTACGGTGACATCCGTCCCCATCTCCGGTGAAATCCGTCCCCATCTCCGGCGAAATCCGTCTATCTCCATCTCTCAGAGCCACCCTCACAATCATTCACGATCAGAAATGGAAAATCAACCAAATCAACCACCGATGGTTAGTTTTTTTTTTAATTATTTTTATTTTGAAATTTTTGCATTATTATTAGGTTTTTCATATTGAAATTGATGATAAGTTTACTGGTAATTTCAATAATAGATTAACCATTTCACTTAGATTGCTTATTAAATTCATTCGATTGCTGTCAATACTGCTAAACTGTTTAGTCTTTAACCCTGTAAAGTTAATAATTATCTTTGTTTTGTCTTTTGGTTGAAGTAATGCAATTCATTCAAGTTTCAATTTTAGACAATGACTATTTGAAACCGAGGATCGCAACGCGAAGTGAAAATCGCAACGATAGTCAAATTCGCGTTGCGATAGTCATTTTTGTGTTGCGATTTTCATTTCGCGTTGCGATTATCTCGTTGCGATAGTCAAATTCGCGTTGCGATAGTAATTTTCGTGTTGCGATTTTAAGTTTCAGAAACTATTATTCTTCTGCAAATTGAAACTTGAATGAATTGCATTACTTCAACCAAAAAACAAAGACAAATATGAAATTCACAGTGTTGCAAATTTAAGTTTGAAGAATAAACTACTACTACTCTTTATTGTTTTTGGTATATCTTCACAGTATAGTTTTTAATCTAACTTGGTATGTTTATTGTTTTTGTAGAACTTTTTTTCGGCTCAATTGACCTTAAGGAATAAAATAAGCCTAGTCACTACAATTGCGTCGAAGCTTTCACATGTACAAAGAGCATTGTTTGAGGATACTTGCTTCAGGCCATGGCTGAAAGTACAACATCCGGGTGGAGATGCTATGTTAACCCATTTGTGGCTTCATACCATGATTAGCGATCTACCCGAGAGTATAAAACGTGGTAATGAAGATATATGGTTTCATTTTCCACCGACGTATACGTGTTTTGGGCGGGAGGAGTTTAGCTTAATCACTGGTCTACGCTTCAGACACGATGATGTAGGTCGATACACTAGTCATATTACCCGCCCATCATGGTTATCCCGGGTTTTTCCTGAGCTGTCAATGGAGAAGCCGAATTTACACGTCGACGACTTGACGAGATTATTGAATAAGAAAGATGGTTTTACTCGGATGGATGACGTCAATGTTGTCCGAGTATGCTTTTTAGTACTTTTGCATGCCGGCTTTTTAGGCAGAGAGGCCAGACAACCTATTCTTAAGGACCTAATATTATTGGTAGAGGACCTAAATGCATGGAACCTGTTTCCGTGGGGTTCGTATCTATGGAAATCTACCTGGAATAAGTTGTCGTCTTCATTTGATGACCGCAAAAGTTTGCGTGGCGATGGTTCCAAATACACTTTTTCAGGCTTGTTTTGGGCCTTTAAGGTAAGAATTTCTATATAATGTTTCCAAAATTATAATTAATTATTTAACAATTACTAATGTTTGTGTATTATATTGTTTTTTGTAGATTTGGATATTTGAGGCTTTTCTCGACATGCAGATATATGCATTAAAAACTTCAAATGATATTCCTAGAGCTATTTCCTGGAAGAGGAAACGGCGGCTGTTGATTTGTGAAGATTTACTACGGTATAAGACAATAAATGATGTAAGTTAACACAAATACTACCATATATAAAAACAAGTTATTACTAGTATACGTTTAACTTTGTTTGAGCTTTTATATTGTTAGGAGGCCAACACTCCATTATAGAGGCTGACACCCACGGAGGCTGAGCTTGCCACTGATTGGTGGCAAGCTAGTAAGCGTTTTTTTGATGGCACGGATGATGAGCAGCCTCCACTTCGAGAGCCATCACCTCACCCAGAGCCATCACCTGATCGACCACACTATATAATTCTACAACGAGAGCCATCACCTATTCTGTCACATCATCGAGCCTCTTCTCCACCATCACCTCATGATAGGCAACCGGCAAAGATGCCACGACATTCATCTCCCTATTCTCCACCTCCACGGGATGAGTTAGGGGAGTTACGTGATGAGGTCAATGCCTTGCGTGAGGAGGTCGGTATTTTACGCGATGATAATGGTGCATGGCGTGACGAGGTATCTACTTTACGTGGTGAGGTAGCGACTCTACATGAGATGGTAGCATCGTTGCAGAATGAGGTAAGTTTAAGATTTTTCATATTTAACTTGATTTACTCGTAATTTCACTTAGATTAACCATTTCACTTAGATTGCTTAGTAAATTCATTCGGTTGCTGCCAATACTGCTAAACAATTCTAAAATAACCCTGTGAAGTTAGTATTTGTCTTTGTTTTGTCTTTTGGTTGAAGTAATGCAATCTATTCGGTTGCAACACGAAACTTAAATCGCAACGGGATAATCGCAATACGAAATAAAAATCGCAACGTGAAAATCACAATGCGAAAATGACTATCGCAATTTTGGTTTCGCGTTGCGAATATCCCGTTGCGATAGTCAAATTCGCGTTGCGATAGTCATTTCCGCGTTGCGATAGTCATTTTCGCGTTGCGATTTAAGTTTCGTGTTGCGATTTTAAGTTTCAGAAACTATTCTTCTTCTGCAAATTGAAACTTGAATGGATTGGATTACTTCAACCAAAAGACAAAGATAAATACTAACTTCACAGTGTTGCAAATTTAAGTTTCAAGAATAACTACTACTCTTTATGTTGTCCTTGAATATGCACTAAACCTATATGCTGTCCTTTTAAATGTTTATAAGTGCTTACTTCCGGAATGTTATCTGATGCATTTTGTGAACTATGATAGAATAATGACTTGGGTGAATACCGTGCAAGTTTGAAACATATTTGCCTTTGTTTTCACTGTTTAATATCATGTCTGTTTATTTACTGATTTATGTATTAATAATTATTTTTAGCAGCCCGATAAGGTGGATGCTTTACGTCGAGTTTTTCTTGCACGACGGAGTTCACGCATCAGACGGCGTGCATGTGCCATTACGTCTCCATTCACCCTAATAGTGAGAAGACTCCGTAAGAAGAAGCCCGACTCACCTGTCATCGTTCAAGAGGCCTCTCCTATTTTTCAAGAGGCCTCTATCATCCCTCAAGAGTCTCCTCCCACCGTTCAAGAGGCCCTTGTCATCGTTGAAGAGGTCCCTCCCACCATTCAAGAGCCCGATTCATACGGCGTAATATGTCAAATTATTGAGAAACCCCCTCACGTGCCGGACATGATGGATGACTGTTGGCTTTCGTATGAATTACCGGCTAGTACCATTCCGGCAGATGAAGTGGAGAGGAAACAACTACCGGAAACAATTCTGGATAATACCCTTTGGGCTAAGACCACAGTTGATTTTTTTCTACATGAGCGGAGCCAAGGGTGTTACGCTGACATATACAAACTCAACGATGATATGCATTTGTTGATTGATCGGTCTTGGTGGGATGTGTTATTAGGGGTTGAAGACAAAGACTATTTCGATGGGGGGGTAAGTCTTATATTTCTTCTTATATTTCATTTTGATTTTTTTTAAAAATTTATGTAATTCACTAATATATGTCTTTTTTTGTAAAACAACATATTGATGCATGGGTGTCACGTCTTCTAATAGTAAGGAAATTGAAGAAAAATAAAAAAAATACGCGATATACAATTATGCCGAAGTCTTTTCACATAGTTCACTTGAAGAATCAACGACATGAATCATATGTGTTGGCTAATGGACAAGCTAAGCTTTATCCTGCATGGTGGAAGGTCGATAAGATTAGTATTTATTTATTTTAAATATTTTAATGGTGTTCATAAATAAGTGTGCAATTTGAATTATTACTTATGATTACAGGTGTTTATCCCTGTTTTGGAACGTACTCATTGGCTTCTCGTCGAGCTTCAGCTCCCATCCCTGAAGACAATAGTATATGACAACATGATAAATTACATATCATTGTCTGATTTGAGAGATATTATTAAGGGATGGAGCTCTCATTTGGCTAAATTCTTGGATGCTATTAATTATTGGACTTATTCTGGAAACAAGAAGCCAAAGAAGTTCAATGTTACAGTTATCAGAGACGAGATCACGCCATAACAAACACCGAAAGCCAGAGGGGATTGTGGTCCTCTCGTATGCATGTGCTTGGAGCATTTGACGACAGGAAGTACACAGTTTCTACCTCCCACCGATAGAGATAGAGGTGCAGTAGGCTTGTGGTTTCGGCATTTTATGGCTAGAGCGATATATGCGAGACGCTGCCTACCTGCATCCGCGTTATGAAAGTGTTCATAAACAATTTGTAAGTCAAATGCAAGTGTTGTTAAGTACCTAGAATTCAATAATAATTTGTTGTTTGTTTGTTTTTGATGTGTAGAAAGTGTTATTTGAGCAAATGTTTGGTTTTTGCAGGTTAATCCTGAAGTGAGCTGCGTGAAATTAATGTATGGGTGCATA